TCGGAGGACCTATTTGAATAGGAAAACCCGACACCTGCTGGTGACTCCAAGAAGATCACATTCGCCACTGCCAATTTGTATGTAATGAGTAATTAAAAATAAATTACAGGGGTTCGTAGATAGAAAATCGATGGGGCTATGTTTTCCACTTTTCCTACCGTTGTTCCATGCATATGGGTTCCGGTAGAGTGTCTTATTATCACTGTTAACTCTGAAAGGTCCCAGCTCTTCCATGGCGCCATATCCGAAAGAAGAACATCCTGGACCTGCAAATCATGTAGCATATCTTTAGCTACTGAACCCCCTTTTTTTTTTCTCTCTTTTTCTTTGGAAGGCACACACCACGATAATAATGGCAACAAAACATGGAGCTTTTCTCCTCCTCTTTTTAATTGTTGAAGTAATAAGTAATTTACTAAAAAGTAATTCTCCCTTTTAAATTGTTAAAGTAGGTGGTAATTAATTTATTAAAAAGTAATTCTCTCTTTTTAATTGTTGAAGGAGATGATAATTAATTTATTAAAAAATAATTTAAAATTTGATTTGATGTTTTAGATCCATTATAAAAATGATATAAGTTTGATGCATAAGACCAAAACTAATAATAATTCTCTCAAAGAAACTTTTACATGTGAGTCGGCTTAATTCAAAAAATCATCTACTAACTTTCAGTTTAATTTCAGTTTAGTTTAGAAAGTTTGTTTCATTTCTAAATGATCTAGAAACTTTGAAAAATATTTCAAATTAGTCTACCGTACAAAGAGGACGTTAGATTGCCGTTAGATTTGGAGAAAGAGCAGTCATTTGAGTTTTAAAAAAATGACACTTAAATCCTAATAAAATATGATGAATCAAAAAATAGTTTATAGAGATAGATTGTAATTTAGACAGAGAAATTCAATAAGTTCAGAATAAAAAATTTTAAGCGTAAGTCTGTTTTATAAAACAGACTGTATAATCTGTTTCATAAAATTATTTAAATGTTCATACAAAAATAATATAAAAATAGAATTAAGGGTATTTAAATAATTTTACAGGATGGACTGAAAGTAATCTGCTTTGTAAAACAATTTTCTAAAAAAGACATTTAGCAAAATAAGAATAAAAACTATTTTTACTATAAATATAAATTTAAAGACTAAATGATTAAAAGAAACATAGTTAGAGTACTAAGGTTTAAGAAGATTTTCTGTTAGGATTTCTGTTAACTTTAATTGCATAGATGAAATTGAAATAAATGTGAAAGATAATAGACAGAATTGAAACAATTCAAAGATAATAGATGAAATTGAAATTAGACTGAAAGTTAGTAGATGATTTTTTGAATTAAGCCCATGTGAGTCCAAGGTCTATCTAATCCTGTTGTCTTGCTTCCGCGCAATTATTCATTCATGTTTAGCATGACGAGTTGACGACACCGACACTACATGGTGGTTTTCCTAGTAAGAAGACATGAACCATGAAAGTCTTGGTCCATCCATCTGGAAGTTTGAATTCAAGGTGTTTCCAGGAAAGTCGCACACGCACACAGCGCTATCTAGACGGTGGACACTAGGGGCGTTTTACTCACGAAAAATTATTGGCATATTTTTTTAGTTAACATACCGATCAATATTTATTGATTTAGCTATTTTTTATTTTAAAATAATAATTTTTTAAAAATATATTATAGAGTATTTTAAATTGAAAAGTACACTAATTATTATTTTTTAATAATTTTAAAACTAAACTTATTTAATTGATTAATAAAATTTTCAAATTAATGCAATACACTATTATATTATAATTGAACCAATTCAACTTAGATCAAATTACTATAGTTCAGTCAGATTAATTAGTTTTTAACACTATTTTAAATATATTAATTAGATAAAAAAATCAAAACATCATGCTGTATAAAACACAATAACATTATAACAATAAAATAATAGTATTAACCATTAAATTGAAGTAAGAATTAAAAAGATGGTAAAAAAATATATAGTGAGAACTAATAAGGTAACTAATACATGTAAGTATATGCTATAATCACTTAAGAAAGTAGAGAGTTCTAAAAATAGAGCTTTGCTTATATAAGAGATGACTTAGGGTTGCACTATTTTTTAATTAAATTAATTAAATTTTATTGTACAATTATAATACAAAAATAAAATAAAAATGATAATCAATATCATTAATATTATATTACTAACACAAAAAATATTACACTAATTAAAGAAATAAGAAAAGTAGAAAAGAAAAAGAAAGGTTAAAACCCCATTTTGATCC